CGCCCCCGACCCCTGAGGCACCGTCCGCCGATCGACACCGACGAGAGAACCCCGCCCCCCACGCCCGCGCGCAACGAGGGGCGGCCGGCCAAGAAACCTCAATCCCAGCCCCGGCCGAGCACGCTCGATCTCGGTCCCCGCCACGCACGAGCAGGGACACGGAGCGCCCACACCACCGCCGACCCAACGGACTCCGTACTTGTCACTGGCCCTTATGTTCGGTGACTAAGACCCGCTGGCCCCGACCCTAAAATATGTCCGAGCGGCCCAGCGGGTCTCCCATCCAGGACGCCTGGCCCTGACCTCGAAAGATGTTCGAGCGGCCCAGGCGACCCTTCGCACTAGGGGAACCGTGGGACCACGTCCTTGGTGTGCAATCCCCTAGTACGGGCCTACCCTCCACCCAACCCAGCACCGCGTACTGGGCGGGTGAAAGGCGGTTATCCCTTCTCCTAGGAGAAGGGATCTTCGTAACCCCACGGAAGGGCGATCTAGACCCGCAGCGCCAACAGTCCAGGTTTCCCCGGACTGCCGCGCTCCCGCCGAAAGACGGGGTGCAGGCCTTTTGACCCCCCAACCGTGAGGATACGGCCGACTCTACCCCACCCCAAGAAGGGAGAACCCCAGGGCCATCCACCCTGCCGGAGCACCGGCGTGCAATGGGTGAATGGCCAAACCCCAGGAGTGGGGTGACGTGGGACGGGAAGAACCCCGCAACCCTCCAGGCCGGACGACCGACGGACCGGGCCATTGCCCGAGAGATCCGCCGACCGCCATCAGCCCAGAGGGAGGCGAGGGATCATCCATCCCACCTCTCTCCCCAGGGAACCAATCTCCCCCTCGAGCCTGCCGGAGCACCGGCGTGCAATGGCCGAGGGAGCCCCCCAAACCCCGTGGTTTTTTATCGAAGTTTTCCTTCCTCTAGGCCGGTGGGAGGAGTAGAAACTCTTCCCTCTCGGTCCCAGCCGACCGGGCGTTTGTAGTCGGGGTCGCCTTCCCCTACCGACGCTTTAGAGTCGGGGAACAAGTTCCCCGACGGGGGCGCCAGACCCTATTGTGCCCCCAAGTCCCGACAAGTCGAGAGGAGGGGGCACGGCATGCTCTTAGACCCTGTACCTCCCCAGCGAGGCCTCCCTCCAGTATAACCAAAGGTACTGCCTCAGTGGATCGTTGGTACAGGGAGCCCTCTCACCACGTCAAGGTGGCAGCCACGAGAAGGAACTAACCTAACTTAACCTAACCTTGCGACCGCAGGATATCGCAACGCGCGCAGCGGTAGAAAGGGTGTCACGGGTCGTGTTGCGCCGTATCTCCGAGGACGCGATGCGGCAATTCGCACCGCCGCCCGAGCAGAGCGGCGAGTCGGCCCGTAAGGAGGCCGAGAAATGGGCGGTAGAGGTGGACCCGCCCGACGCGATCGCGGATCCGCTACCGGTGATACAAGCGCCGGTAGAAGGAGACCAGGCCGCGGAGCTTCCGATCCCGATGAATCTGGAAGCGGTGCAGGCCATCGTCGCCATGCTAGAGTCGGAGCAGGCCGCCCGGCCGGACGAGCAGACGACAGGTGCAGTAGAAGGAGGAACGGACGCGGAGCCGCCAGCAGAGTCCGCGAACCGGGACGACGCGTCCAGTGTCAGCTTCCGAAGCCCGGAGAGCAACGACGAGGACGAGAACAAGGACGAGGGACAAAAGGTCCCTACATAGATTTAAGTAGCGTTACCAGCGTTCCGAGGATGGGGACGCACTTGGACGAACGTCCGTTTAGTTATTTTGTTTTGGTGACCCCCAGGGTCGAGATTTTGTCTGCGACAACACGACCCCATCCGGCGCCATAGTATATAGCTTAAGACAAGTCGCGCAATTGTTTAGTTTCGTTAGTACCGGCTCAAGCCATATTTAGTTCATTTTTGTTTTTACCGTTGAGCGCGCGAACGGTTGAAAGTTCATAAAACCGCATGGCGAGGCTTGAGCCACACAAGGCTCCTTTCCAGGAAAGGAGAGGCGCCCGAATGGGCGTTCCCCCATATCAAGACGAAAGACCAGCGGAGGTCAACAACCGACCACGGCGTACTGACAGACCGTCGAAAAAACTCAGAGCGCAGCGGCGCTGAAAAACGGCTCCGGGGAGCCAAGATGGCGGACCGTCCGCAATTTTGTTTAATTAAAGATTCTCGCGTTAATGAACGGTCCCTGATCGAATCGGGAAGCCCAGGAAGCAACCGTAGCTAGAAAAGATCGCATTTCGACCGCGAGAATAGAAAATGACGGACCGTCCGTAATCTACGAGAAAACAATCGGGGCGTGATATCGCGCGGTGCCTGACGAAACTACGAGGCACGAGAAGGTCACATAGCCGAAAATCGTGGCGATCCGATAACGGATACGCGAGTTAGGGAACCGTCCGCGAGGTTCCACTGGGTGCGTCATCTGCGGGGACAAACCGCCCCTGACGAAAGAGGATGTCCCAGGGCCGATCGCCGTCAAGATCCGACGACCGGGTCACGAGTTAAGGTACCGTCCGGGAGTATGCACCAGGTACGTCATCTCCGGGAACTGAGTTGCTCTGACGAACGGAGAGGGCCAAGATAAGCTCCGTACCGCGCGCCGTCGAACTCCGACGACCGGGAGACAAGTTAGCGTACCGTCCGCGAACTCGCACCAGGTGCGTCATCTCCGGGAACTGAGTTGCTCTGACGAACGGAGAGGGCCAAGATAAGCGCCGTACCGCGTGCCGTCGAAATCCGAAGATCGGGTCGCGAGATAGAGTACCGTCCGGTAGATCGCGACGCGGACGTCATCGCCGAGAAAAGACCTCGGAAAGCGGGATACCAGGTCCCAAGAACACGTCAGGATGGGTCGGCGACGTCGGCAGACGTGGTGCTCGTCACCCGGACGTCTTCCCCGGGAAAGTCGCCCGGAATCATAAAAGGCGTGCGAATTAAGCATAGGCGCACAGGTCGGCGTCAACGGCGGACGCATATTCGAGACAGTGGAAAACCACTACCCTGGCGTCAGGACGGCAGGGCATCGCGAGCGCAACGCCCATGGAAATTTCCATGTAGATCCGCGTAAACACCGGAGTGGAAAATTACCGAGACAAACATGCGCAGTTAGGAAGCTTCTCGAAGGAGAAAGTTGTAGGAAACGCCGGAGTGGGGGCTAAAGAGCTGATGGTAGGGAGGCCGAGCGAGACGGGCCACTCGAGGCAGTCTCTCGGGGATAGTTCACGGAGCAACACGTAATTTCGCATACACTCTCGTTGTCGCGCTAAGTTCCGCGATCGTAATCCGAGTGCGCAAATCGTAATCTCGTAACTTTCATAACAACCGGGAACGCCCGCGAAACGCGTTAATTATCGCTTTTACATAAGCGAACGGCGAATTAGTGCCGAAAAATCTTGTGCGTCGTAACGAAAAGGGGCGTGTCAGCCCGAACGTGCGATCGTCCGACAGATTGTGTAACTTCGATATTTGTGAACAACTGTGAATGAAAATCAGTCAAATTGAATAAATTATACAATCTTTTGTCAAAAAATTCTTGAAAATTATTCGATTGGACTTACCTTCTGTACCATACCTGATCCATTGGCGTCGATCACTCAAAGTCCTTCGTTGATCCTGGAAAACGGTGGCAGCGGCGATCCTGGACGGCGACGGCGATGACCCTCATGTGGCAGGAACCTGAAAACAAGAATAATTAGTCTGATTGAAATTCGATAGATACTTACCTTCTCGGTATATCAGAGGTCAAACCGAGTGGCGACCGTTGAATTCAAGGACACCCCGCGTTGATTCGTGTCTCCCCACGTACCGTCCGGTTACAACCTAACCTAACCTTTTTTTTTTGTTTCGTGGAAGAGGAAAAATGCCTCGCGCATTCTACCGGGGGCCGTCTCCCAGGATATGTGGGGCTTGCACCCACTAAAAAACCTCTCCCAAACACTTAGCACGCTGGACAACAGTTGCAACACGCGGGAGACTCGAGGTATTACGTTACGTGCCACAACAGTCCTCTCGCAGAGGCGACAGAAAACGTAAACCGGAGACGAAATCACGCGAAGGATCAAACAGGGATGCCGCAGGACCCGCCGGAATGACTCACTAGTCCAAAATTTGGCACGAGTGCCAACGTTCGACCGCCTCGGAGGCCCTCATGATAGTGACTGCGGGCAGTCATATCATTGAGGGACGCTCTTCATTGGCTGCGTGGCCATTCCATAGGAAGCCACAGACATCCCAAGGAAGAACGCACAGGGCCATAGGACATGTACGTACCAGACGAACAGGAACCCCTCTAACCGGAGAGAGGTTCCACATAAATCAAAAAGCCACGAGCTACGCTCGTTAACATTGAGGGTTGAACATATACCCACCACCAAGGAAAACAGTCGGACTCAAGTCCGCATCACGGGCCGCATTAAGCGGCTGTATTAATGATCACGTCCGTCCCGCCCCCAGGCCCCCCGGAAGGGGGGGGAGAAAGGGAGGGAGAGGCGCGAAAAGAGAAAAGATCCCAAGAACCCCGCCGCAGGCCGAGGAAACCCAGAAGGACGACCACCCGCACCCCGCAGCCACAACGGGGCCTCCGGCAAACCCACTGCGGAGCAGTGGGGCCGGAGCCCCGCAAGCACAGCGGTGAGCGGCGAGACCACGGGCGACCGACCCCCAGGGAACCCCCAACCCATCGCAGCGGAGCTCCCAGGAAAAGAAACAAATATGTATGTAAATAAAACTACATCTAAGTCTATTCTCTATTACAGGGCCATCCGGCCGCCTATAGGGAAACCCGCACGCCGACCGCCCCCAACCCACCACCCCCCCAGGGATCCGGGAACGTCGCCGAAACGACGCACCAGACCCCAGGAGGAGGAGAGCCAGAACCGGCCCGCACCCGGGCAACCCAGGAACGGCGGGAAAACCCCGTCCGCACGCATAATAAATCGCATCAAGAGAAAAACGCACGCAATACATAACGTCGCAATGACATCGCGGAGAACGCGATTATCCCGGATCGATGACCATTTGCTGCTGCCTCCTCCGCTCATCTTCCTCCTTGCGCTGGAGAACGCGTTCAGCGAAAACCGAAAATGCGTTCCATCGTTCTTTCGAGTTGCAGATCCGAGCAACGATGTTTCCCAGAGAGAGATTTTGACCTATCGCAGCAGCGAGTTCACCGCGCTCTAGAGCCCAGAAATGGCACACCTCCAGGGTGTGCTCTGGGGTGTCTTCTTCCACATCACAGTACCGACATATTGGGGTGTCCTCCTTACCAATTTTGTATAAGTAGGTGCCAAAACACCCGTGACCTGTTAGAAACTGAGTCAGTCTGTAAGTAAGGAAGCCGGAACTGCTATCTAGCCAGTCTTCAAAACTGGGGCCAATCGCCTCTCTTGTTCTTCTTCCCGGGAGGTTTCCCTGCGCGATGTGAGCGCGCCATTGCACTCGTAGTGCCTCCCATTCTTCCAAGCGTACAGCCGGAGCCGATACCTCATTGTACGTTCCATTCTCCTTTATTCTTCGGTGTCGGAAGTATGTCCTTCTCAAGAAATCTGCATACAAATGCAGAGGCGGAACACGGGCCAGGAGCGTAGCCGCCTCGTATGAAACAGTACGATAAGCCATTATGGTTCTTAACGCTGATAGTCGGAGCGCGTGGCGCATCCGTCTCTGCTTATTCTCAGAGGCCATAAACTCCTCGCTCCAGATGGGAGCGGCATAGAGCGCAATAGAAGTTGCCACGGAGTAGTACAGCCGGCGCTTGTTCTCAATAGGTCCCCTGAGGTTGGGTAGGATTGCGCACAGAGCACGATTTACTTTGGAAATCTTTTCGGCAACGTAATTCACGTGGGTGTTAAATGCCCATTTCTTATCGATGTATACGCCAAGGTATTTCATACTGTTGAAATCTTGACGCTATGTCCCTCGTAATCGAAGGTCGAATTTCGGGGACAGTGTCCGAAGAAGACGGCCTCCGTTTTAGGCCAAGACATCGATAGGCCTAGGTCTTGAATGTTTATCATGAGCCTGTCAAGGCATTCGGACGCAAGAACGCACGCAGAGTCGAAATCCTCTTCGGCGACGAGGATCAGTGTATCGTCGGCGTAGCAAACGACATGGGAGTCGCCCGGAAGTAGGGTACGCAACACCTGGTCAAAACCTAGATTCCAGAGCGGGGGGCCCAACACCGATCCCTGAGGGACCCCCCTGTTGACACGCCGGGTGCGACGGGTGCCATCAGACGATACATATCTGATTTCTCTATCTCTAAGATAGTCCTCCACGATGCGCCTCAAGTATCGCGGAACGCGCTTGTTCCTCAGAGCGGCCCTGATTCTGGAGTGTTTGATAAAATTGAAGGCGTTCTTAATGTCAAGAGAGACAGCCAGAACCACTCGGCCATTCGCGCGAGCCTCGGTAATTATGCTCTTGATCAGGAAAAGAGCGTCGGTTGTCGAGCGCATCCTCCGAAATCCAAATTGGTTCGCCGAGAGATCGTACCTAGGATTCCGATCAAGATAGGTGGCTAGGCGGTTGGCGATGATGCGCTCGAAAACCTTCCCAGTCTCATTCAAAAGACAAATAGGCCTCGCCTTAGGAACCTCGCCGCGTGGAGGAATGTCTCCTTTAGGGATTAAAACGAGGTCTGCTAATTTCCACTTAGATGGGAAGACCCCAGACTGCATATATATATTGAAACTAGTAGTCAGTCGGTGTACCATAACAGGAGGCAACTTCTTTAGGACGGTCGCCTTAAAGCCGTCCGGACCGGGCGCCGTGTTGCCGGATCTCTTAGCCGCTATAGCTTCCTCCACCTCGTCTGGAGTGACGGGGGTCCTTCCCTCCTCGCAATCACCCAGTTCGACTCTGGACAGTACCCGGCCAGGTGGAAACAAATCGTCCAATAGATGGTTCAGGACTTTTGGCTCAAGGGTGGAACTGAGTCCCGGAGTGGGTTTTCTAAGTTTTCCCAGAACTAGCTTGTAAGGAAGACCCCAAGAATCATCCTTCAGTGTGTCGATAAGCTCTTGCCAGGCGGCAGACTTGGCGTTCCGTATCTCATGCTTAAGGTTCTGAGTGGCGGCGATATACGCGATTCTTTTGGCTTCCAAAATTTCCGGGAGATCCCTGCACCTGCCGCGAGTCCAGGCCTTCCTCGCGGCTATGGCCACAGTTCTTAACTGTGCAATCTGTTCGTTCCACCAGTGCGCTCGGTCCACCCTAGCAGCGCGCAGACGAGGGACCGCCGCCTGACACGCATCATGAATACAGTTGTTAATCCATCTGTCCGGACCAACCCCGATCATGTACTCCGGATCACCAGGAGTCACCGCACATCTCCATTCGATGGCTTCCTGAAAAAGCCCGATATCCATCTTTCTAAAGTTCCATCTACGGGGTTGCGGTGGTGATATACGCCGAGTCGATGATTCTGAGATTTCGAATGAGATGCAGAAATGGTCGGACATAGACTCCAGGTCGTCGCGAACCGACCAACCGCGTATTCTACCGGATAAGTCGGAAAAGATCCAGGTGAGATCCACAATCAAGGTCCCCTGATGGCTCGAGAAGGTGGGGTGATCACCCTGGTTCGCCAACCTCCAATCAAGTTGTGATGCAAGCTCTTCGAGAACCTCGCCCCTGACATTTGAGGTGCTCGATCCCCAAGAGGGAGAGTGGGCATTAAAGTCTCCACAGATGACAAGCTTGTTGTTGTGCGCTACGCCGGAGCAAACATTGGATAGTTCCTCCAGAAAGTCCGAGAAAGTCGGAAAATCCACGTTGGGAGAGATGTAACATGATAAAATATGTATTTCTCTCAACCTAATCAGTACGCAGTGTATACCACGGGCTTCCAGAGTGGCGGGATGCGCCGTGACCCTATTGTTGACAAAGATGGCCGCAAGACCATCGTGGCTGTGAAACCATAATTGATGAGGGCTGTGCGTTCGGGCGGGTTCGGAAATCGCACAAACGGCAGCCTCCATTTCTCTTGAATAGTGAACAAGGAGGTCCTGAGCCTCCCTGTTGCCGTTAAGGTTCAATTGTAGACACAGAGTCATCTCTGCGTCGCCACTCGACCATTAATCATGGGGTCCCCGCGTCTCTTGCGTGTGGGTTCAACACTTGCGCAAATGTTGAGCGATCCCAACCGGTGATCGCTGGATCTTCGGATCGCGGTCTCTACAGACCGCACAGCAGGGAACCTCTCCGCAGTCGCCAATCTGATGACCGCGCGCACCGCACCTAAAGCAGACGCCAGTCCGGTCCTCGGGGAAGTTACATGTAGTGCGGACATGTCCAAAGCGCCAACACTTATAACACTGGACGGGTCTTGTTTCGAGTAGCTCGACCCGAGCGACTGTCCAGCCTATTTTGAACTTGTTTGTTGCCGAGATTTTTATAGCCGCCGAAAGGGGGCATTTGACCCATGCGGAATTGAGCCCGTTGTTCATCTTACGGATGTTACCGATTTTGACGAGGTGTTCGTCACAGTCTCCGACCACGGAGATTTCGTTGAGAATCTCCGTCGGGGAAATGGAATCGTCAAAATTCCAGATGCGTAATTCTCCCATGGTGGTCGGGCGAGTGATGCGTATGCTGTTATTATCCAACACCTCCTTGAGCTTTCCCACTAATGTGTCAGCTTTAGAAGTGCTGTCCACGCCGGGTATCTCAATAATCACCCCGCCGTTGATGCCGCGTCTTATCTTTGAGGTCTCTATAATTTCGAATATGTTTGCAATCCCATCTCTGAGATAGCCCGAGAAGTTGCTTTTGATATTTCTGCTGCTTGTTCGAATGGTCTCCATTTTTTCGAGACATTCAGTGGCGCACTTAGTCAACTGTTCTGTGTTATATGAGCGTAAATTGGTGGCAGTCACCGGATGGATAGTAAGCTTGTGCTTTGCTGTTAAAACAGGAGTATAGACTTCATTTTCTGAAGTTGTGTACCTCCTTTTAAGAGGTTTGGCCGCATTGTCTGGAGAATCTGATGGAAATCTCTCCTTCCTCTTTTCCCTGTTTGGGGTAGGCGGAGGTATATCCTCGTCATCGTCGTCATCTGCAATCATTATTACGTCTCCAATTAAATGCTCATCCCGATGTAACGATTCCTCCGAGTCAGATACTCCAGGAGGGACGAACGTGGAATCAGTCTTCGTGTCGTCAGGAACTTGAAAATCTTCGGGAGACTTGTCGACGTTCGCGATAATCCTCCTCGCAAGATCCACTCCTTTGTCGTATTCTTCCTCCATATCCACCTCCTTGGTGGTTTCCTTAATCGTTTCTGTGTCAGCAACTGCGCCTGTCCAATCAGGACGCAGTGCTATTTGTGAATTTTCGCTTAGCCCATCGCTTGATTCAGGACTTGGCTTTTTAAGGCCAAGCCCATCGACACGGGGTTCGCTGGGACTACAACCCCCCCGCGCCGGTCTCTGGGTCTCCGAACCCCCTGAGACGGTAGGTTTCTTCTCTTTATGTTTGCTTTTCATGATTCGTTTCGTTGTTTCAGGGGTGTTCTCCCCTTAGAACGTTAAAGTTCGGGTGCACCTCGCCCATGGTGCATCCTAGGACCGCTCGTCAAAGATTTTGCAGTGTCTGGCTGCGAGTCTTGCAGTCGGATGTAGGACTGCCAAAGTTCATAATCCCACGCAGGAATGAGCAGTACGGGGGATTAATTAAGAATAATCGTCCAAAGATCATTTAATAATAGACTCTGAGGAGTCAACCTTCCATAGTAGAGACTAAAAGTTTAGTCTTTTCATATATATATAATACTGTTCAATATATTCGCAAATAATTCGCATAATTAAAGTTAATATTGAGGCTATTGCCTAGTATAATATAAGTTTATTCGCTTATTTGTCTTATTTATCTGAATTTATTCGAGATTATTTAATTTGTTTGTTTTCATCATTATGATCATGGTTAAGTTACTAGACAATGTATAAGATATTGTTTATAAGTATAAATATAAATCGAGACATCGAGAGACACATGAATCCATACTGATACAGATCTCATATCATGGAAGCAATCTTCGAAAGATTGACACACATGTAAACCCGCCTTAAGGTGACAACATATGGGGATGAGTTACGTATCATGTGTTTCTCATGACTCATACCCGAAAATAATAATACGCGCGCGCGTCTTATATTAACCTACCTTTCGGTGAATAAGTTTGTTGTAATACATTTAGTTCTATAAATAAACAATTAAGTAGAGATCGGTAGGTGAAAATAATATATGCATGTAATGCAGTGTGATATCGCATATTGTGGACATAAACAGAACATTGAAACAGAGAAGTCCAATTACATTGTATTTATATCGATGTATTGGTGATAAATAAATAAACAATAACAAAAGAAAAGAAAAGAAAAATTGGTGTATGTGTTTTATTTCTTCTTTCCATTCTATCCAGTCAGGTATCCTAAAACAGACGTTAGACGAGAAGAAATGGTGCATCTCAGCGCGCAATCTGTGAGGTTATGTTACCTCATATTAACCTATTATTACTATTTTTTATTTCAATATTAGCAATTGTTTGTATAAATCACACGCTGAGAGTGCATAAATGTGGACCTCTCTGTATCCATACAAGAGACAAAACAAGAACAGATAAACAAAGGAAAAATAATACATATTGCAAAGTAACGAGACCTGAGTCTCAGTGTTCAGGATTAACAAATTTTTATGTCGCAAAGTGAAATGCATATCAAAATATTGCGTCTATTGTATGTAGCGATTGTTATTTAGTGATACTGATATAAATTTAACTCAGAAGTATATCATTTCCCATATATAGTATTCAGACCCACAGTGTCAAAGTGTTATCCTTAATGTGTAAATTTACTGATTTTATATAACAAAGAACGTGGAATATATAGAAATATCAGTTAGAGTATGTGTAGTTGTTGCTATTTAATATTGCCAATGTATAACTATTCCAAAATATGATCGTATTTCCATACTTGGTAGTTGGACCACTTAATGTAAAAGATATGACTTCGAATATCCAAGAATACTAATCTTGTATATAAAAGAATTAAAATTAAAATGTGTCCAAATATTACGTCTGTTATGTATGTCTATTATTGTTTAATAATACTGGTGTAAGATTAACCCAGAAATATGTCAATTTCTCATATATAGTACTCGAACCCCTCAGTATCAAAAATATGATTCTTAGTGTGTGAAATTACTAATTTTATATGGCAAAAAACATGAAATATATATAAATATCAGTCAGAATATGTGTAATTGTTACTATTTAATATTGCCAGTGTAAAACTATTCCAAAATATGATCGTATT